GGGTCCGTTTCCCCTCGCCAGCCCCAGCTCCCTGGGCCTGGTTTTGGCGTGGTGAGGGTACTGAGGGGGATTATCGCCCTGGTCTGAGGGCCACGAATACACCTCTGAAGCCCCTGCAGCTCTTGTGCCCCAAAATGTGGGGGCCTTTCCTTGCCCATACATCTCTCCACAGCCCCTGCCAAGCATCCTCTGGGTTTTCACCTCTTTATAAACAACACCCACCCGAAGGCAGGCTGGGGTACTCCCATGCCAGAGCTCATTAACCCCTGAGATGCCACTGCCCGGGGTTAACCATGTAGCAGGCATCCAGCACACGCTGCCTGATCTTCCCACACGGGCGCTGCCGTCAGGTTTCTGCGCTCCCTATCCTGAAATGCACGGAGGGGACGGGAGATGCAAGGAGGGGTGACAGCTCTGAAGTCAGTGAGTGGGTGGCACCTCCACATGCTTGGTCCCACCATGCTGCAGGTGCTGGCTGGCACGGAGCTCCAGGTGAAGTGTGAAAGTCTGGGGTGGGAGAAATAAATGCGTGTCCGATGGAATAGCATTGTTATGAGATCTGGCCAGAGAGTTTCTTCTGGATCTGCTGTTAAACTGCTACTGAAATGTTCCTCTGAGGCAGCGATGGAGCGTGCTGGGGACTGAGCAACCCCTTGGCAGAGGTGCAGCGTGTCTCCATGCAGGGGAGAGGAGATCCAGGGTGGCTTTACTGCATGCCAGCTGGGTGCCCGGGAGCGCACGGTGGAAATTTTCTGTGTTTCAGGACGGGGGATTAACTGCTGCCCTCGGGGATGTTGGTAGGCTTACTGCATTAGCACAGAGGGACGTGGGATCTGCAGCTGGGAGGCAACAAGGACAAATGCTTGCTAAGCCGGGGAGCCTAAGCTAGTAAATGATATTCTTCCCTCATATGCTGGGCTGTGGTCTTAAACCTACCACATCACAGTCCTCAAACAGTGTCAGGGACCACCCTGGCTCTGGAGCTGAAATTATGGCAAAGCCTTTTTTAGGGTAGGCATTAAGAAAAATGCATTCTCCCTGGCAGGACAGCCTGGCCCAAGGATAGAAGACATGACGAGTGCAATGTCCAGCAGTGGTAAGCAACATCTGAGGATGCTTGAAGCAGCCCGAGCCCAGTTGGAGGCCAGGAGATGGACAGGATGAGCCTTCAGACTCCCTTCCAGCCCCACGTTCTCTGCTTCAGCACCCAAAAAAACCCTCCAGAATTTGCTTTTAACCATTTTGGGGTAGGCTGGCTTTACTGGTGACATTATTGCTCTCTCTCTATGCTACGGGCTCAATTCTCTGCTCTGAGAAGGCAGTCGACTGCCTGTAGCTGAGTTTCTAAATGATGAAATCACATGAGCTTGAAGATGTTTTTAAAGTAATATACTTTGTTTTTATAACATAACTTTACATCATAAAGTAGGGGTCTAAGATACAAATGTTTAAGGCAGTTATAATAGTGTGCTAATTACTGTATGCATAACATAAGACTGCTATATAAAAACTTCAGTGATCCACAGGCTGTTGTGAACCACAGATGGTGCCTTAGTGGCACCCTAAGCCAGAACGAGAGCTTGGTTCAGTGGGTTTGGGTGTCAGGTGCAGGTGTCTCACCTGGGTTCTGATGGCTCTGAAGAAAGAGGTGTTCAAGAAAGAGCTGGCAGCAGCATCACCACCCCCCTTCCTCCCACTTCTCTTGAGAGCTGCGTTCAAACTGAGATGCTCACCCTTGATGCTACGCTGCAGCCATGCCCGTGCTCAGCTACGTACCCCGCTGAGCTGGATCTGGACTCCCACCCAACTTCCCAGCTTGGCCTTGGACCTGCCTCATCACCATGGACTTGCCAGGCAGTCAGGACTCCCACTTCAACGAGCCTTAATCCACCTCCAGATATGCAAAGCCCTGGTCTCCCCTCCCTTGGACAGCAGGGGCCTGTGCCTGTGCCTGGGACCCAGCCAGTGGTGCCCTCCATGGCTGGCACACAAGAGCCAGACATCTGCAGGACTTGCTAGGGCTTGCAGCACTGTTGTTCTCC